AGAAAAGAATCATAATATTATCATTATATCATTAATCATAATATTATACATTATTAATTATTATTATAATACATTAAATTGTACTTGGTCTATATCGTGTATTCGTGTGCCGTGTGGCGAGTGTTAGTAGGCACTTCCGTCCAGTATCAAAATTACGAGTACGGAGTATTTACATTTTATGAATGGTAACTGAGCAAATATTTTCTTAATGTGAGATAGGACCCCAGTCCCCAGGACACCCACCACCCCTCAAACTGAGGCACGTGCCTCAAATATAGTCCTTCGTCACGCCACTGTTACTGACAACCTGAAGCAATTGTTGACGATTTGGATTTGGATTTAGGTGATTTAGAGTCTGGTCCTAAAATACCGAAACTAAAGGTAAGTTATAAATGTATTATACATGACATTACCTATCTGTAATAGATAAGTAATAATCTGTATTTTATTATTATTTATTATTATGTAGCATTGTAGCTACCTACTTAATAAAAATTATTAATTTTTATCTAATAATATTTAGCAATTCCCTTTAACACAATGTGGTTCTCAAAAACGTGGTTTTAATTCTTCATATCTTTAATTATTTTAATGAGTTATTAAATATAAAAAAAAGTGTTGGGGGTTTAGGGGTGTGGGGGCTTTGCCCCCACGGGTTTGTTTGCTGCCAACTATTTGAGCCTCCCCCCAATATTTCACAGGATCTCCGCCTATGATGTGCATTACGGTAAAAGCAGTGTCCTCTGAGCGCCGTGAGCGGAACATTCCCGCTTATGGACATGTTGTAATTATCGCGGAGAAAAAAACAAAAGTAGGTACCAGTATAGGTAAAACATTTATTATTATTGTTATTTGTTGCACATTTTTTCACAATTATAAGTAATAACAATATTTATGATATGACACTATGATAGGATTATATTGTTATACCTACATAGTTTGATTAAATATAATATAATAACCTACTATTTATGGTACAAAAGACGGCCGTATATGTTATTATATTCGAGTATTCGACAGTGACATATCACATATTATAATAAATTATTTATTGCTGTTATTATTACAATTTGTATTTTATATTTTACAATATAAACCTCTTGTTTGATACATTAAAAATTACTGATAGGATTGATTATATATTACTAATTACTAATATTTATAAGTAATTATTGAGATTAAATAAAAACACATTGGAATAAGCCCGGCAGCGAGCGATGTAGGTTGTAGGTACAGACTACAGACCTGCATTTGCCATTCGGCATTCAAAAATGTAGGCTCAGTTATATTATTTATAAATTATAATACACAGTGTTTGGCAAGTTCCTTATAAAAAGGAATTCGTACTGTTCCAATTGTTCCTTAAAATAAAAAAAATAATTCGTTCCTTTGTCGTTCCTCTGGAAAATGAACGAGCTCCTTTTTTTAGTTCCGAATAAAATAAAAAATCTTATTTAATCATTAATGTTTTTTTTTCATATGCATACTTCTTTAAATTGTAATTATAATATATACCTACAAGTAGGTAGGTACCTACATATTTTATAATTCTAGTACGAGATTTTCTTCAAAGTTAAATTGTTGGCCGACGTATGTCTTATCGTTTATTGTTTAATAATAATTATATTTTATATAGGTACTTATTTCTATATAAATTATAACTCATAACTTTTAGAAATATTAATAAAGTGATTAATGACTAATGAGTAACGATTAACGTCGATACTCGATAACGATCATTCATTGGCAATATATATTATTATACACATTAAAAAAATATATATATCTGTGTAAATTATTGGAACTAGAAAGGAACGAAACATTTTGTTATTTTTCCTTGTAAAAAAAAGAACTCGTTCATTTTCTCCTTGTTTTATAAAAAGGAATTCATTCCAGGTATCCGTTCCTGTTGTCATGGGGAGGGTCCAGATAATTTTTAGAACACAGAGCCACGCGGGACGAAGCCCCCCACACTACCCATTTACTCTTTATTAAATAAAATATTTAATATACCATATTTATAAGACGATATAAAATTGTCGAGTTTTTAATTATTAAATAATAATATGTACAAAACAAATTTAAAAAAAAGCGGGTGATTGGATGTCACTCTGCTGCTGTACAGTAGGTTACAAGTGGGTCAATGGATTGTATTAAACTTGAACTCAATGATATAATATCATAATATCATTGTATAAGAAAAATGATTCTGAGCGAAGACGGTTTGTCAGTCTGGATATTTTATATTGTTATTATTTATTATAGACTGTAGTACTGTACCTAAGTTGAATTAATAATGAAATACTTTTATTTTTTATTTTTTTTCTATGGTGATAGACAAAGTGTTAGAAATTAAAATCCCATTTTTAGCGGCTTTTAGTAATTTTTTGGTGGTTTTTACAGTGGCATTAAATAACTATTGAGAAAATCGAAAAATGACCTCTCTAAAGTACTATCTTGATCCAATTTTCTAAAAGATAAGTTACTATATGTCTATACATGTTGAAATCGAAGCACTCCTTCTGGAAGACATTTTTGTATACAGGAAAAAAAAATAAACACTATTGTAGAACCAATAGATCCCTCAGAATCGAATATATAGTTATATGTTATAACTTTTATACAAATATTTCCTTAATTACATTAGGTACCTACTTCATTCATAGTTGATCTTAGATAGCTTTTCAATCTTAAAAAGTTTGAAAAAGATCTCTCTGGAGTGGTTGTAGATACTGGCAATGTACAAAACTACAAAATATTTGAATTAAAAAATGAATTTGGTATTTTTCAACCATTTTCGGTACACAACTTATAAAAATATTCACGATATTTATTGAAAATGTTGATATAACTATAGCTTCGAAAATTTTTTATACAATCCTTAAAATCGTATGATAAAATTTGTTTTTTAATCATGTAAAAACTGCACAACATTTAACATGTAAGAGACACGAGTCAATGGGAGGGGTCCGGACCCCATGGACCCCCCCCGTAAATACGCCACTGAGTACATTCAATATACACATCTAATTTATCATGAATCATGATATTAGTTAGGTAGGTACCACGGTTTAAGATAAAGGCAAAAATGCTGTCACAACAATAGTTGATTGATAAATTGATAATATTAAGGGCATCAAGAAGTCAGTTCTTCTCTTTAGGAAATGGAATTGGGCTCTTATGATTAATTCAATTTGAAAAATATAATTAAAATCAATAATAACGTATCTACATAGGTAATTAATTACTACCTATAGTGTAAAAACCTTTTTATCAGTCTTTTACTATAGTGTTAGGTAAAATAGCCAATAATCATAGTACCTACCTACCTAATCGTAAAGACAAAATAAAATATACATTTATTTGAGATTTGTGTGGTTTAACATTTTGATACATTTTGCTTAATTGCTTACTTACTTAAATAACCATTTTCTAAATAAAATATGCTCTACTATGATGTACCAACAAATAATAAAATGTCTGATGAAACAATAATTCAATAATGTTATCAACTCATTGCTCATGTGTAATTAATTGATTTTATATCTACTTTAGAAATTAGTTTATTTTATTTTTAGGACTCTAGTACATCACTTACTATTTTACTTAATTACTTTCAAGTTGAAACTTTAGTTTTTATTTTCTGATCACTTAATTGCACTTATCATCACCTTTTGGCTTATACTAAAATATTTTTAAAGTACCTAGGTACCTACAGTAATAATTTATTATAAGTAGACCTTTCGGCTTTCATACAAATATTGAAATATACAATCAGAGGTATAAAAACCATGGAACAAACCCCACTGTAAATGTCACTATAAAAATAGTCAATGCAAGCTTAAGCTGTATGATGTATGAACAACAATGGATTGAAAGTACCTACTGCTTTTTTTTCAAATGCCGAGGTATATTAATTTGAATGTATCACATAAAACGTTGATTTTTCTTTTAAACTACATAATACTTTACAAGTTGGGTACCTATATAAAATAGGCAACTGAGTAAAATAAACTTACACATAACATGGTATTCATTACATTTAATTATTTATTTATTTAAAATAATAAATATAAAACTATTGTACAACAATTTGTTAAGGATAATGGATAAAACAAATATAAAACAAGTGATTCCTATGCCATTTTAAAATGAGTTAAGTTTATTAAAATATAATATAAATTGTAAAAACAATTTAAGGTAAAATATTGCTCACTGTGGTTTTTATTTTTTTTGCCTACTGAAAAAATCGAATTTAGCTCTTTGTAGATAAAACAATATTATTTGAATATAATGATAATGGGGATTGTCCGATTGTGAACCACAAGGCAAATAAATTATAAGCAATAAGCCATAGTAGGTAGTAGTCCCTTGTCCTGATCTTTTTTGTTCCTGATTTTGAAGTGTTCCCAATTTTTATTTCATATTTCATAATATATTAAATGTTGAAGTACATGTAACTATACTTAGGCTGTACATTTTTAATTTTTAAAGACTGAATGTGATATGAAATGTTTAGTTTAAATTCAAACATCAACTTCGATATCTTATTCTTTCGATTTGTTTGGTGTATTAGCCATTAGGTAATTTTACGATTAAAGATTCTATCTTAAGCCATGGGTAATTTTAATAAAAGTTTTGATAATATAGACTATTAATAGTATTAATGCCTATTACTGTAACTCTATTTGAATATAATATACAATAGGAACATAAATAATTCCAATATTTTCCAGGAAATTACGTAAATAAAACAAATACCCTTGTTTATTGATAACAAACATCTAAATTTAGGAATCGTCAATGATTAATATTTTAAACCGCGTCACAGCGATACATACAAATACCAATATACCATACATCCTCGAACCTCGTCAACGACAGGTCGACGAACACTCAACAGTGCACACGTTTTTCATTCAATTTTACATTTTTACGATCTTATAAGTTCTGTGCTTATACTGACGATTTCGGGAGTCTTATTTTTGTTATTCACAAGTATGAAGCACGGTATTTATACGTATGATAATTTAGGTACCAAAAAAGGAATAACGTGAGTATATTTAAAAGCTTTACATTGCATATAAATTAGAAAATTTTAATAGACATTAATCGTTTGCCTTTGCGCATATTATATCCTTATACCCTTATATAGATGGGTACCTACTACTTATTTTTATAAGTGTGCTCGGACATTTTTGGCAGGGTAGTAATATACAATTATTAAATATTATAACACATTAAAACACACACATACGTATATATTACATTCTTATTCAGTATTCATGCCTAACTGCCTAAGTTATAACAATTAATTTGTATGGGTTAACCTTATTTGAGTATATTTACCATAGTAAAAAAGTATATTATAAATAAAAATAAAATTATTGATTAGGTATCATAGTAATAATGAATATAGTACGCAGAGTAGTCAAGTGCCTATCATGATTCATGACTACCCTGTGTGAATGCTTATGCCTATTGCTAATTTGCTACAAAGTTATAATAATTACTCAACTGACTTAATATGTAGGTATTTTAAATATCCGTCTATCTGTGTATAAGTCTAAGAATATTTTTTTGTGAATATTCAACATTAATAACTAGAAATAAGTTGCTTAAACTAATAACTAATTATTATATAAATTTACAACTTATAATTCCAATTGCAATATCAAAATGGGTTTGTAGTTGGAAGTAGAATGTAGCTATGTAATGTAATGTAATTAGACTTCTCCATGTTTCATACTTTTGTAAATTTAATAATATTGTGTTCAGGGTCTAAAATTGAGTTAAATTTTTTATATACCTATAGCTAATCCCCATTATTACTTAGATTACTGATTACTAATTACTAATTGTTTATTTTTATTATTATAGATATTACAGATGTGCAAGACGTGGAGGGAATTTTTGTTCAGGATCATTGAAAAAGTTGGCGGATGGCACATTTATTACTATTAAACCACATAATGGCCACCAAGCCCATAATCCTAATGAGGCATTGGTTAGAGCATTGAGGGAAGTTCTTAAAAGAAGGGCTTCATCAGAAAATTTGACATTGAAGCATATTTATGACGAAGAAGCTAGAAGGTAAGTACATAATTTTGTAACACTAACGGTACAAAAAGCACCTAAACTAGAAATACTTTTTCAGTCTACCCACCTATAACTTTTATGAATAAGCATATGGGACTAAACACTAAAATCATATGTATAAAAACATTAAAATAGGAGGTCACAAAAAGTTTATTTTCAAAATAAAGCTTGACACAGTTAACTTAACTCTTAATTTAATAATTAAATATATTTATACTTAGGTATAGTAATAGTAATTTATTGTTTCCAAAAACATAGCTTGAGTAGGAAACAGGAGTTCTAAATTAAGTTAGCTAATATATATATAAAGATTAAAGAAGAAACAAAAGTAATATATAAATATAAAAAGGTTTAATTAATATAACATGAATAAATAATAAGTAGACAGTCTACTATAGTATAGTATAGTATTAAAATCTACAATGAAATATTCAAATATAATATAATATATAAAGTTTAATATTAAAGTACAATATAATTACATTGGTAAAATACTATATTTAAATTATTATATTCAAGGACATATCTTATGTATAACATGATTCTTAAATAATCTAAAATCAGGGAAATTCTTAATATCAATTACTAAATTGTTACAAAAGGGAATACAAATTTTAAAAGGATTTTTCTTACCAAATTCGGTAATAAACTTATTAGTTATAAATATTATATTTTTATTATTTTTGTGTGTTTTTTTTTTTTTTCGGTTTAATCGAGAGCCGGAGAAGGAACTGTTGCTCACATTGCTTCTTCTCCGGCCCCCATCGTTTATTGCACATCAAACAAATTAAATACAATAACTGCGCCCTTGGACGCGCTCCCACGACCTGGCAGCCCTTCCTTAGCGGTTGCTAGTGTAGTATGCGGCTGTCAGGGAGTGTTACTCGGGGAACTAACATTTAAAGATGGTTGCTTAAGGCGTTGTCTTGAGCTGGTGGTTGACTACTTCACGGCCCGGCGCTGCGGTCCGTCGGCCTGGAGTCTCGTTATAAATATTATATTTTTATTATTTTTGTGTGTATTGTAAATGTGATTAAACCTTATTAGTTCATTTAAATCAGTATAATATTAATTACAAATACAAATATTATTATTATTATGTAACACCCTCGAAGGGTAATGATAGGTACAGAATTATATATAACTTTAAGAAAGTAAGAATACAGTGTGCATAAAATGAAGCTAACAATATATAACTATATAATAGTGGTACATACAATAAGATTAAAATACTTAAAGATTAGTAGGTAATAGATATAATTATACCATTATAACGACAAATAGTGGATATTCTGCAGTGACCAAAGCTGTCTGTTTTAAATTGGTTCTTTGTAGGTCTGTTACCCATAATTTTACTTAGTGTTTTACCTATGTAAAACGTTAAAAGATTATTTAATTATTCATTCATCTAATACGTTTTCAAATGTAAAAATAAATTATTAATACCCTTGTATTTTTCCTTATAAAAACAGATAAATACATTTTAATAACATTTAATTACATTTTATAAACAAACATCGAAATTTAAAAGATTCTAAGAAATCTTTGTGAACACTATTTTTTGTTTTCATAGAAATCCTGAAGCTTCTAGCCTGTATCCATATTCAACTGCTGAAAGTATTATGCGACTAGCCAGAAGATCGTCGCTGCCATCTCTGCCCCATTCTCTGGCTGATTTGGCTACTATCTTTGATGAAGGACGTTTGCATCGTTACTCTTGCTGTGGTGAAATCATGTTTAAGGGTTGTGTGCAAGATGTTGATGGCCGAGCATGCATGATTTTTTCATGCACCGCCCTACTACAATTAGTTTTGGCTAACAATATAGACGAAGTGCATGTAGATGCGACTTTTAAGGTTGTGCCTTCAAACATGGGAAGTCAGTTGTTGACTATCCATTGTATGATTGACAATTATGTATGTATAATTTTGATATTTTAATATTAATCAAATTTCATATTTTATAACCAAAATTACTAGTTAACTGAAAAATAAGAAATTAGTTAAAACATGAATTACAATTATTCTGAAACTTTTTATTTCTAATAATATTATTGCAAAGTAAATGTTCTAAATCTTGATTTCATTATATTCTGACTAATATTATTTATCAATATAGTTAATAGCTACATATTATGCTTAAGTTATCCTTGTGTAAAATATACCATAATATGATACCTAACCATAAAGTAGGTATAACATTATCCATTATATAGGTACTAAAAGACAGTAAAACTTGATATATGTATTTTTGTTTAGTCTATACCTATAGTTTACTGTCTCATGGAATGTAAAACGAGAAATACGTACAACTGCGTTTTCAACTTTTTAAAGACAAATTTGCTGGCCAACCTCAATCCATCCATTATAATAACGGATTATGAAACTGCCCTGAGAGATACTCTCACATTTATATTTCCAACTGCACGAATCACCGGGTGTTGGTTCCACCACAACCAAGTGAGTTCATTAATAAAGTTATAATGAAATAAAATAGTAATTACTAATGACAAAAAAAAAAAAACATATACCTAGTTTACTAATTTAAAAATAAATCATTTAAAGGCAGTTTGGCGAAATATGAAAAAAAGAGGATTTTTACAATTAATAAACACAAATGAATTTGCTTCAAAAGCTCTAAGGATGCTATTTGCATTACCATTGTTACCATCTGGTGATATACAGCGAGCATTTGATATGGTAAGAATGTTTGCTGTGAATCACGGAATACCAATGTCAAGTTTATTTGATTACTATGATAAGTAAGAATATTTAAATTATTAATATGTTGAAACTTATAAAAATCATATATAGTAGATTATAATAAATTATTGCTACTAATCAATTAAATACCTATTTTTAGCTATTGGCTCAGACAAGTTGGATCAAACATTATTTCAGTTAATGGTTTACCAAGACGAACAAATAATAGTCTCGAAAGTTTCCATAATACTTTGCGGAACAAATTTAATGTCACTCACCCTAACTTATGGATATTTTTAGGTAAACATATATATATATATTTTTTTTTAAGTTATTCAATTATTACCAACTGCTACCGATAATATTGGATTAATGTTTATATTACAGATCACCTATCTCACTTGAGTATGAGCTTCCACACTATTATGGCTCAGATAAATAATAATTTAAGGCCAACAAGCAACCACCGAATAAATTATAGACATTTAAATTCAATCCAACACGCTTGCCAACAATATACTCTAGGGCTGATATCTATGTGGCAGTTTCTTCAAAGAATGTCGCATGCTACAACAACATATGAACAACAGCAACGAAATTGGGCACTGCATGTAGATAATGAACCGCCAATAGTTGTTCAACCAGCAGCCCCAATACCAGGAGCTGCAGATTTGGTGCCAGTTGTTGCACTAGTACCGGTAGGTGCTGATATATTCCCAGTTATTGCACCAGTACCAGTAGCTGCAGATTCAGCAGAAGTTGTTGTACCAGTACCAGTAGCTGCAGATTCAGCAGAAGTTGTTGTACCAGTACCAGTAGCTGCAGATTCAGCAGAAGTTGTTGTACCAGTACCAGTAGCTGCAGATTCAGCAGAAGTTGTTGTACCAGTACCAGTAGCTGCAGATTCAGCAGAAGTTGTTGTACCAGTACCAGTAGCTGCAGATTCAGCAGAAGTTGTTGTACCAGTACCAGTAGCTGCAGATTCAGCAGAAGTTGTTGTACCAGTACCAGTAGATGCAGATTCAGCAGAAGTTGTTGCACCAGTACCAGTAGCTGCAGATTCAGCACAAGTTGTTGCACCAGTTCCAGTAGCTAATTTATTGCCAGTTATTGCACCGACAGATGCAGCTGAAATACTGCAGCTGTTAGAACCAGTTGGCCATCCTTACCATCTACAAGGTAGTAAATATAACTAAAAAAAATCATAATTAATATAATTTAAAAATTTAAATAGTATTTTCATTAAAAAGGTAATACTTTAAATATGTTCAATTATGTCTTTATTGTGTATGCATAGGAGCAATAAAGGGAGCTATAGGATCTTTGGCGCCAAACAACACAATACATTTTTTTTATAGTATTAACTGATTACTTTATATTTTATTACAGTAATGTTAAACATTTATATAAAAATGTTAGTACAAATATTAATTGTTTTACTATTTTTTGTGTATAGTAATGACAGTTGTGTACAGGGCATTGTAGGGGTGTAGGTTGTGTGTCCATAATTTTAGCAAACCCAAAGTTAGAGGTATAATATTGTGCATATGTCTATGAAAACCTTAGTTCTATTAGTTTAATATTGTAATGTTACTTATCTAAATTCACTTAATTTAGAAATATTCTGAACTCATTCAAACAATGTATAACAATAAACAAATAATCATCATAATTTATGTGTAGATAATGGCAGACATAGAAACCAGACACCAAGAGTAGATGGACGTGAGAGAAACGGAAGGCAATTTAATATAGTCCAAGCTTTTTATGCAGAAGTTGAAAATGAAGTAGAGCCGCAACAAGAAAATGAAAGTATGATATATTAAATTAATTTTCATTGCATAGGTATGGCATTTTTGTAAATATTTTTTAACTTAAAGCATTCTTTTCAGTTCTTGAACTATGCATAATTTGCTACAGCGGAATTACTACTACTACAGTAGTACCTTGCCAGCACCATTTCTGTAGAGTATGTATTGAGAGGTGGTTGCGGGAAGGTAGAAGAGGTTGTCCGCTATGTAGAACTGATATAATTATGCTACAAAAGTAATTATTTAATTTGTTTAATTATTATGATAACTGTTTTAAATATTTTGTGTTTAAATTTTAATAGTTTACCTCAAGAATAGTCAAACCAAGGGCGCCCACAAAATATTAAACATGTACCAGGCCAAAAAAAAATTATATAAAATTTTCTTTACAAAGATTGTAAATGCTAATTTATAAATTTATAATAAAACATTTATATTTTATATTATAGTACAATTATTGTGTTAATAAACACAAATACAGGTTAACACTCAATGACCGGTTGTTTTCATATTATAATAAAATAACTTGATAATTAAAATAATTAAGGATAAAACTTTATTTTTTGACCATTGTGGTTTTTGCAAGAAATAAAACAAGAATTAAACCTTAGGTATAATTATATTTATTGTTAAGTAAGGTTAAGTCTAAACACACATAATATAATACTTAATACATATTAAAGCATTCGACCGAGTAGATCATAAGTTAGCTTCAGCTCATTTAGGTTTTAGTAATCCTCTACAACTGTCTTGGTTAAATGCATACTCTATAAACAGGAACCAATTGTATTAAGGTTCTTATTGGTTTTGTATCAAAGTCAACATTAGTCCTACCGGGAACTCTCTAAGGTGGGCATTTATCTCCTATCCTATTAATCTTTTTAATAACGGTATCTCATCTATTTTGGAAAAATCCCGCTTCCTATTTTTTGCAGACGATTTAAAAATGTAGCTCGTATTTTTTCAATCAACAACTGTTTATCTCTCTAAGAGGAATTAAATATTTTGTCTAGTTGGTAAAATGCTAATAACTGCTATTCAATGTGTTTTTACTGGTAGACACTGAGCATATTATACAATATTTACTTATTGCATAACTGATAATAAACTCAATTCAGTTTCATACATAAAATGCCTAGGTATAATCCTAACCCACAATCTTAATTTCTAAGACCATGTCGAAGTTGAATGTGTGGTAAAAATCACTACGTGTATTAGGCTTTGCAAAACGCCAGTCATCCAATTTTAAAGATTTTGAGTCTTTAACTAGGTACTCTACTCAACGTTAATTAGATCAATTCTAGAATATGGATGAACCATTTGGACCTTAGTCATTACACTAAATCTAATATTCAGTAGGTAGGTATATTGAACGAGTTCAAAATCGTTTTTTAAAGTTAATAGCTTTCAAATTCAATATAACTATATACCTACCAGCATGAATTTACACCGGTCAATAACCTTATATATGTATTAAGCCATGACACCGGTAAGATCCTTTCTAAACCTCACAACTCAAGCTCTACTAGACATGAGCTAGCAAATTTTACTTTTATTTATAAATTAATCAATAACAAAATTGATGCTCCATGGCGCAATTTCAATTTTTGAATTGGGGGGGCTGAATATATTAAAAGCTAGCAGACCCTTACAATATAGCATTTTAAAATGTCCTAGATTTTGGGGGCTAAGCACTCCCCCCAGGCCCCCCTCAATTTGCACCTATGATGCTCCTTATCTATTATAATGTTAATTCAACATTTAACAGCGTTCAACATTCCAGCTTATAATAACCGTTCTACCTCCATGGGCTCCATGTTCTATTTACAATCACACAACACAAACTATTTAAAGTATTCTCCAATCCCTAGAGCCCAAGAGCCATGTCCACGTGTAACAAACTTTCTACAGATGTCGATTTCTTCTTTTCTCCATTAAGCATGATTCATACAATATATTATTTTAATAATATTATGTAATATCAGATCTTATTTAATTTAATCTTGGTTTATATTCTTATTCTAATTAATTTTATGTTTACCTCAGTTTATTTATTTTGTTTAACATTTAACGTATTATTATAATCTAAATTCTAACTACCTACCTGTACTATTGGGCAGTTGCCCGTTTTATTCCTTTCAAATAAATTATTATTATTATCAGTATATAGTTATGAAAATATTACTTATAAAAAAAGTAGTTCAACTAATTAAACAGTTCACTTTCACTAAAAAAGTTTAAACCTTAGAACCTATAATCAAAAACTTTTTTTTTCAAGGTGACTTATTTTAGTTGAATAATTAATATTATTATATTTAATATAGTTATAACACAAGTGTTGAGTTTGAGTATACCTATATTACCTACCACAACACTATTGAGCCTAATAATTTTAAGCTCTAAGGTACCTTGGTACGTATTTTTAAGGTAGGTCCAGCGCTAGATAGGGAAGGTTACTTATCAGGCGACCGGAAACTTTCCCGGTAAGCCGCTGCTCAAAAATAATTTGTTATTATTATATATTCATAATAAAATCAGTAGGTATAAATATAAATTATAAATATTTTGTATTTTCATATTATAACGGGTGAGTGTGAAAAATTGTTTATATAATATATTATAAAGGTTAGGTTATATAGTTATAACTAGCTATATATATATAGCTAATATTATTAGCTACCTATTTAAGATTTTAGATTTCGGTTCGGCTGATTATCCGCCCCCTCGGCGTGGCATCGATGCATCATCAGAAATTATTATTTATAACTAGGGTTCAAACTTAAATATAAATTGCATTTTTTTCTGAATTTTCTAAACCATAGCTTTCCAATCAAAAAATTTGTTTCATGCATAATTAAAAAAAATTTATTTTTATTTTGCATTTTTTCATTATTGATTTTAAGAGCATATTTTTGACATTTTTATAGTTTGAAGGCATTTTTAGTATATTTTATATGTATAAATAAAACCATATAAACACTATTAGCTTAAATTCATTCAAAAAATTCAATACAATTAAATATAATTTTTTTTATTAATATTTTTATTTTATTACGTCTTATGTTCGCTCCTATGACTTCAGTTATACAAAACAATAGTTGCCAATAATAACTGTCGACATTTTTATTTGAAAAATATATTATTTAGCATCTGATCTGATTGACTAGTGCTGTCCTATGATAAAACACAAAATACAACGACGACTATACGTCTATAGTCTATACCTGTCTAAGTTTTATTTTATATTTATTTAAATTGGTTTTTAATTTTAATTTAGATTTAATATTTAGTGAGTGTCATTTCTGGATGACTTCTCACATCAAGTCTAGCCTGTTATTAAATTAATTGTAATTGTAATTGTGTAAGTGTAAGTGATTAGGAATGATGACTAAATCGAAATGCAAAAGCCGGTCAATTTATTATAGATTTACCGGGCCGAATAGTTGCCCCACTCCCCCCCTACTATCAGCCCACCGAGATTTAGACATTAAGTATTTTAACTGGCCCTAAAAAGCTCATTTTCAACTAAACATTACTAAATTGACCTACATTCTATGAGACGCACTGAGTTAAATAAATGTCTTTAAAATTGTCTTATAAAATAATTGCCCAAACACTCATGAACAGCCCACCGAGTTTTACTCGGGAACTCGCCGGGCCAATCCTGCCCTGGGTAAGTGGTGAGTACGGATGGAATGCTTTCACAGTCTAACATTCAGGTGCATTAAAAAAAAATTAAATTTTCACCAATACTGCAAGTCTACACGCAAATGGCAAATTATCATATTCATAACCAAGTTACACTTTGGCATAAACAGAAAATTCACACCAATATAATTTCGAGGCTTTAAGAATTTGTCATTTTGTTCTTTTTTTTTATTATTATTCCCGCCCCCTGGTATTTTTTTTATATTTTTGAAAATTATTTCTCTTATCAGATCTGCCCCCGGGCATGATATGCCCCTATCTTTCTGATGTTCTACGTGGTTCTGGTAATCTGGTCTTTCTATTTTCTAAAATATTATTTTCAGGTAAAATATTTTATGTAAAATACCGTTCTGTAAAATCGTGTTCTATTATATTACATTCTGGAATTATACACCCAGCGGAATTTCTGCAATATTATTTTCTGGATTTTTACGTTCTACTGATATAAATTTCTTATCATTTTACATTCTTTACCATTTATTTTTGTTCATTTTATTTTCTGTTTCAATATTTTCTGGGACTTTAATATTCTGGTAGTTTTAAATTCTGTATTTTTATTTTCTGTATTTAAACACTCTGTCAAATTATATTCTGGCTGTTTTTTTTCTGGAAAGTTATATGCACCGTATATTGTTTTTTTTTTATTATATTAATTTTTAGTGTGCACTAATCGCCACTGTTGTGTGTTTTGTATGTGTTAATTACCAAATTATTTGTTATTATTATATAGCTTAGGTAGCGGCTGGCCAGCAGAGCACCGATAAATTGTGAGTTTTATTATTTATTATTATATTTATATACCAGCCATAGGTCAAATGCTGGCGTTATTATTTACTCTATTTGTTGGGCCAGAAGGGCCATCATATTATTGATATCCTTGTTTATACCTATTGTGTTGCTGTGATTTCTTATATATTGTGTCATATTCTTGTGTATTATACAGCAACAGCAACTTATTACCAAAAACCGTGTTACCATTTTATTATTATTGTCTTATTGTACACACACCCACATATATACACACATAACACACAAATAATACACATAGATACACTACACGCATTACGTAGCTCAACAGTATTTGCCCGGCAATCCCGACCACTGCTGTTCGAGCTATTACACCACTACACACCCAGCTAGTCCTCACATTTAAGAACTGTCCTAGAGTGTAGTGGTGAACAATTAGGTGCCCGGGGTGCGCATATTATTATTATATGCTACCGGCCCGTACACATAATAAATACGAATACTCCTTGTAGACTGCTAGATGCATAAATAATGTACCATTTGATCATTCTACTTAGAAAGCAATAGTACGGGAAGAAGTAAGGGGATTCCAATAATCAGAAATAGTTTGATGTTCATTACAAATCTGTCAAAAATAAAAAATTTAAAGTTATATGAAACGATTTTGAATATTTTTTACCCATAAACCAAAAATTATTTAAAAGATTTATATTAACTAATAGAGAAGACGGAAACTACTAACTTTAAATTTATCAAACTTTTAGATTAAAAATTAATGAAGTCA